CATTTCCTGAGAGAATCCTTTCCAAGCTGTCCATTCCAGTAGAAAACATGATATTCAGACTTTTTCTGCCCTGCTTTGGAATACAAACAAATGTGAGAGTACTGGGAAGCTCTCCCTCTTCCTTCTGGATGAAAATCTCATTTTGGAGCAGCTYTGGCACTGGGCAGCACAGCATGGGATCCACACACCTCCAGCCCGATGCTCTGCTGCAAAGCTTCTCTCTGGCAGTGCTCATCGTGGAGGGGACATCCCTTCGTGGGTTTCAAAGAGACACAGCAATGGAGTGGAAATGTTGTGCCGTTCACTTCTGTGCTCTGTGAGGGTTTTCTGAGGAGTGTGCAGGTTGTTCATCACTGTCAGCTCYCCTTTGTACACTGACATTAAGGAAAACCAGACATGAGAGAGATTCATGTCACGAGCCTCGTGTGGCTTTTATGCCATCTCTGCCAAGCCAGCCAGATTGCTGAGGGCCAGATGGCAACGTGAGATGCAGAGCAGTAAATCGTGAGCCTTTCACCACAGCGCAGAGCGAGCAGAATCAGGCCCTCCCACCCAAGACACAGCCTTGCTGGGGAYTTGCATTTGTTTGCAATTAGGTGCTGGCACTGGGAAAGCCCTGAAGTCACCGTGCTCTCTGGGCAACAGATAAAGCTTTTGTTTTTGCACAGACAAAAGGCAGAGCGGGCCAAACCGACGCAGAGTGTGCGAGCGATGGGAAGCCTGATGAAAGGCCGTGAAGAATGTCCAAAGTCAGCAACAAATAACATGGCAGCAGGAAAAGAGAAATCTTAAAGCAGTTGGAAGTGMGGAAAGAGGGAGGGCAAGAGAAGGGAGAGGAGGGGAGGAGCCAGGATGGCCGGGTGCCCAAAGCAGGGACACACATGGGGACAAGGCATGTGGGGACTGTGAGGGGTGCACAGCTCAGACCTGCTCATTTCCAGCCTGCAGAGCATCCCTCCAGAAATGAATGGCTGAGAAGCTTTGTTTCTCCTTGTCACTTCTGCATTATCTTTTGACAATACTGCACCCCGCTAAGGAACTGAAAACCTCTCTGTTAACCAAATCTTGCATGTGGTGAAAGAGGTGAATATGAAATTAGATGAGCTGAGTTCTTTACTTGCTTGACAAGCCATCCCACGTCTGATGTGGTGCTTCTCCAACACCCAGCGATGAGATAGAGGTTTGCATTCCTTGCAATGTGTATGCCTGACAAAGAGCCTGGCAGAGCAGRYCTTCCACCATGAACTCTGYCAGGTAGGGACTGTCWWTGTCCTTCTGTGTTTGTGCAACTCCTGCATAATAGGACTTTGTCTGAATTAAATGATGGACTGAAAGAAAATCAGCCTGGGWGATGAGATGCAAGGGTAGGGGTGTGCAGGCTTGTACAACATATATATCCTGGAAATGCCCCTGAAATCTGTCCCCCACCCCCATTCTTAGCAAGACCAGATGTCAGATTTGGAGATCACAAGGGGTAGGGAAGGTGGTACCAATCCCTCCAGTAATGGTTTTGGGTAGACTGTTTAGAAGACAATAATGCCAGTAGGAGAATCATTAGAACAACCAGGCCGGCAGAAAGCACTGAAGTTACTATGAGGACCTTAATTCTGAATATGGACATTTTGCATGAATGGTAGTCATCCAGCTGTTTTTATGGCTGTAGATCTGGCATTCATAGCTGGATTCCTATTCGCACTCATAATATTTACATTTTGAAAGAAAGAAGTATTTCCTCTCTTTTTTTCTCCTTTTCCACATATTTTGTGCTGAGCTGTTTTGCTAGTGCTGTGCCCCGTGGAAAGGCTCTAATTTAGAAAAGATGCACCAGGCTCTGTAATGGGGCTTGGCATTTGCTCYCTTGAGTAGGCTGCCCTTTGTGTAGGAACAGTACAGTCTGCAGTGTTTTAGGTCTCTCTCTGGTGCTCAGAGGGAAAGAGAGAGTGTGTGTTATTAAACTCATATTGGCTGTGTGGAACTGCATGGAAGGACTCGGCGATCTGGGTTTTGTTACACACTGAACCACATCCAGAGAGCTCTTTCTTCRGATTTGCTGTTTTATAGGCAACGTACAAACACGTTTCACCACAGCCAAAACCTCGCAGGCACAGCCATAAATCACACAGCGTGCTGGGCAGCTGGAACTGATTGCAGATCTTTGGGGTGGAAGAATCACACGCATTTTGGAGGTTTCAGTAAGCTGCAGCAGKGTTTTAAACCTCTGTCCGTCTGTTCTTAGGCTGTGCTCTTCCACCTCTSAGCAGACGGGCCAGACTGCACCTCCTGTTCCAGCCATGGTGGTCTGACCTGGGATTGCTGAAAGCCCAAAGCAGCMCCTTGGCTGTGCCAGCTGTGTCCGGGTTTGGCTCTGTGTGTGTGCTGGAAGCAGGAAGGCAGCAGGCACAGGTCACCATCTCTCCTTGGCAGACACTGAGCAGTGCCTTGGCTGCAGGAGGAGCTGAGGACATGCTGATGAGCCAAAGGATGTTGCTGGTGCAGGCAGGGGAGACAGATGGGACTTCACAGATGGGAATGAGCCCAGGAGCATACAGAACACGCAGCTCTGCAGCAGCAGTCATGCAGTTCCTCTCCCAAAGAACCCTGGATCCTGCTCTGATACAGAGACTGCAAAGGACAGAAGGGAAATGTCCTTCCATCTTTTCAGAGACTAGAAATGGACTGCTGGCCCTAGCCAGGGAGCACCAACCATGATGAATAAACGGGAGAAAGGTGCAGATGACTTGTAGAGAATTACTTTACATCACTAATGTTTGTCCCTTCAGCTGGAGAAAATGGGGTTGAGAGGAAAAAGAGCCAATGAAGGACAAATAAGGGTAAGAGGCAAAAAGGACAAAGAAAGAAACTCAGGGAATTCTTACAAGATGACCAGTGTGAGCAGAGGGCACCTGTGAGCAAACCTCTCCTCCCAGAGTCAGGGGATGCACGGACCCAGGACAGGCAGATTTTYCTCTTTGCTTTGCCTCTGCCCCTGCAGCTGGAGGGCCACCTTTGTGACCAGAAATAGAATCCTCTTACCCCAAAGGTGTCTCCTGTGTAAAGCAGCAGTGATCCTCGGCCGGGTCCAAGGAGCTGGGCTGGCTGGTGATCCACAGGTGTTATTAATAACAAACAGGCTCAGGAATGCTCCCTCAACCGGCGCTTTCTGCATGTGGATTTTGGAGTCCAGAGGGATCTTTGGCTCATCCTGTCTGACCCTACTGGTAACAGAGACAAGAGATCTTCATCCCGTGTCCCCTGAGAGCCCAGAGAGGTATGTGTGGGTAACACCACAGTGGCCTTCAGCCCTGCTAGGAAGGCATCAGGGCTTTCCTTCCCCCCTCTCTTGGGGAATGCCTTCCAAAGGCTAATCAGTTCCACGCTCACAAATCTGGTTTCAGTTTGGATTTCCCTGGCTTCAGCTTCTAGGCCTTGGGGTTTTTGCTTTTTGTTTTTTCATTTCGCCTGTGCTAGTCTCAGAGCTATGTATTTGTTTTGTCTGAAAGACTCTTGGGACAACCTGAGAGCAAGTAGCTTTATAAAGCAGGGAAACGCTCACTAGGAGCCAGGAGTGACCCTTACCMTGCAGCATCCAAGGGAACATCCTCAGTGGTGACATCCCAGCTGGTCCTGGGAARCAGAGGCATTCACCACGCTGTCCTCTGACCTGYACCWTGCCAGGACCTAATCAATSCAGCCCATAATCAGTGTCAGGATGGCTGAATGCAGCTGATTTCCTTCAGCTTGCTAATGCTGGAAAGCTGCCTATGGAGAGAGCCAGATGTGCTGATGGGGTGGGCTCCCCTCCAGCTCCAAGGCAGTTCACAGATTCACTGCCGTGATGCTTTGCTGAGGAAGGGAGAGCCAACACTTTCACACCTGATGAAAGGCACAGCAAAGTGYTCCAGAGAACATGGGGCCTTAGCCTTAATATTAATGTGTACTTTTGTAGCTAATTACTTCCAATGCATTTTGCAGCAGTCTGGGAATGTCTCTCTGACCATCTGTACTCACAATAACCTGAAAATTTATGGTTTTCATAAATCTCTTAGTAAATAATTGATGGATTTGCAAAGGGRTCACCAGTCATCTGAGTTTCCTTTTTCTCTTTTTTTTTTGCATGTATTTTGCCTTGTATTAATTTGGCCAAGAAATACTTATTAAGCAAGAAGCTTGAAAAGGCTCAAGCACGGTTTCTATTAAACTATCCTAAATGTTGCTCCAGCCAGAGCTGTACATGGTGCTGGGAATCCCCTGTGTTGTTGCAGTGGGTATCCAGAGGACTGGCACGTTGAGCAGGGCAGGGTGGAGGGGCAGGATGACCCCAGGAAAGTTTCCCCTTGCCATGAGGACTTGCAGATGTGGAGAAGACTGGGTTCAACTCACGGTTTTGAAACTCACAGCACTTTCCCTACCTCATCATCCAAGTTAGGATTATACTTGCAGGTTCTCAGGTCAGTTCTACAARCCTCTAATTTTATTTTTTCATATTTAAACTGAAGTTTGACCGTGCTGTGCCCCAGTGTTGTCCACGTCTGCTCTTTGGTCAAATGCACCCTGTCACCGCTCATGCTTTTCAGAGAAACCTTCATCCCCTCCTCAGCACAGATGATGATGATGATGATGGCAGCCCTGTTGCTGGAACAAAACCAGCTCACAGCTCTCAGTCCCACTAAAGCCAAAGTGTGCTGCAGGAGACAAGTTTGGGGGGGAAAGAGTGAAAAAAAAACAACCAACTTTGGGTTTCTGTTTTGAGAGCAAATGGTTAAAAGTTTCTTTTTGAAGATGGCACATTTAAATCTGCTCAGCTGCTGCTCCCTGCCTGACCCCTGGGCCCTTTCCCTCAGGTTCTGCAGAGAGTCTGAGCACTGGGTCTATGTGGAGACATCCTTGAAACTGGACACAAACTACATCTGAATAGTTTTTCTGAGTGGAGATTGTAGCTGCTCGTTTGTGATGAGGAAAAAAAAATAGAAGCAAGTAAAAAATTTATTCAGACAGACATTTTTATTAAGAAAATTTTAAGTGCATACACATTTATGTGAGAAATTACAACAGTATAAAAGTGTTTATTTTCAAAATTTTCTATGAAAGGAGTAATTTCAAAAGCATAATATAACTCCTCCATAAAAGCTGCCTTACAGGAACACAAATACAAAACCCTTTTCACATTATTTGGGAAGATACTTCTTTTTACTTAATAAAAATATAAAGTACAGTATTTACCACATTCTGACAACACAGAGTTCTTAAGGAGTGGCAGATGGGAGGTTCATGCAGTCCTTTTATCATGATACATGTTTTCTTCTCTGTGGCCACCAAAGGTTCATGTTTTCAGACAAGGATTATCTTGGTGGGATGTTGATAAAGAAAAAATAACCAGATTTTATGTGATGAATTCACAAAAAACCTTGACTACTATAAATCACATCACCCAAAACAAGTTGCCACGGAAAAGAATAACCTTCTAGGGGCTTATAAAGGGAAAATGGCAACAAAATCTTGTATAGGAACTGCATTTTAAACAAAATGTGTATATTTAACTTTGAAAAAAGCTTTCTTGCAAAATCAACAGTCACCTTCGCTCAAACACCCTAATCAAAAACACATCAAAGTCACCCTTCATTCTTCCTCAGGCAGAATGCAGATAAGATATTCATACATAAAAGTATAAAGCTAGTATAAATAAAAAATGGACTCAGCAATAAATACCATCAACTCTTACAAAATAACCCAACCTTGGGATTYGACAGCTGCACGTTGAAAATACCCACATGATGATTTCACATTTATGGAAGCTGCTTTTTCAGCACTGTTCAGTGTTACCCTTTTCCCTCCTCCTCACATGTGGTCCCTACCCTCTCCCATTTCCTCACGCTTCCTTTCCCTGACTCTGTCTTTGGTCAACACTCAAAGGCAGAAAGGAAAGCCAAGTGCCCTCCCCAGCTGAGGTGCTGCCAGTGCTGCCTCTCACTGTTCTGGCCGTGGTGTGAATGGGACAAACACGTGGGGCACTGGGGCAGCCAGCCCAGGGATCGATTCCTCTGCTGCCAAGGCCATGCCTGCTCTCCTCAGTGCATCCTGCAGATAATGTCAGCCAAACAGCAAAGTTCCCACTCAAGGTTGAATTTTGGTGCAAAGCAAGAGAAAGCTTTTTACAGGTTCTCACTGAAGTCTCTGGCCAGGTCTGTGCCATCTCTGCATTCACACTGTGCTCAACCTTGCCAGGTGAGGGAGGGGCACRGTGCTGGCCCCAAGAGCAGCCCCATGCCCCGAGTGTCCCATCTACAGGAGGAGTGAAGTGTCACCAGCACAGAGGTGTCAGGGCACAGGCACTGTGGGTTGGGGCATAGCACCCAGACAAACCCTGAGTTGTAAATGTTCCCCAGCCTTGCATGCAGTGCAATTTCTTCCTGCTGCTCATCCTGCATTTCCCCAGGAACAAATGCCCTTCCTTCAGCACAGCCTACCCTGCAGCACTCACTGGTGTGCCCCCAGGAGAGAGGGATGACAGGAGATGCCCTTTCCTGCAGCACCTGCACTGTCCAGAGCCATCTCCCCGGGTTTGGCTGGGTGCTCCAGCACTGCCCACCTCAGTGCTCCTGTCACAGCAGTGTTTGCCCGGGCTGTGACACATTCCCAGGGACCTGTCCCTGCTGCTGCTGACCCCAGATGCACTCCCTGCTAACAAGGACTGCAGCAGAGCACTGGCAAGGCCGTACAGTCACATCTGCCCACCCCACCTCCTCACCAAGGTTTCCTCTGGAAACAAAACAATCACGGCCCCTTTTCATCCTGAGCAAGGTATGCTGCTGCATCAGATCAGAGGATTATTTAATTCTCCATTTACTGCAACAGGAATCAATCAGACCTCAGGCTGTCCATTGATAGGAACTGAGTGTGAAGAAGCTTTCCTGGGTGACTTTTTCTGCATCATTCTTGGCTTGGACACTCACATGTCTGCCTCTGGCACACCACAGGCAAATGCAGGTGCAGGTGTGGGACAGGGGATGGACCYTAGGATGTAAAATACAGTCCAGGGAAGATGGAAGAAACTCTGGTTTTCTCATAAAAATTCTTTCTTTCTTTATCTTTTCAGGAGAGGATCTGATCCTACTAATATTACATCAAAACTCCAATTCTCATCAAGTACAGTGGTACCAGACCTTTCAAAACGGAGACACAATATACTTAAAGCACCAGGCTGRTAATGATAAAAGAGAAGGAATGTCAAAATCACAAACACAGATATTTTAGGCACAGCAGTTTGTTTCTGCTTTAAAGCAAATGAGGTGATGTGGTCCCAGCTGAAGGACTCCCTGCAATAGCCCTGTTTTGCAGAGAGGAAAATACAAGATTTTTACCTGAATCCACATGGAAATAATGTAGTCCCTGGATAGCCAAAGTGCCTCTTTGGCACTAAAAAATGCCTACCACAAAAAGGAGTGTGTAACACCCCTCTCAGTGCTCCTGACACAGGCTGCAGGGAAGAGGGAACATTTCTCTTGAAGCAACCAGCTCAAAAAACACAATCTTACAACATTTTTTGTTTACAATACAAACACAGACACATACAAACACAAGCATTGTGCTGCACAAATGTGCTTCCCCCCAGAAATTCCTCAGTGCAAAGCATGACATGATGATTGCAGTGCCGCAGTTGTCTCTCCATACCACGCAGCAGATATTGTGCACACAGGAAGGAATCCAGAGAAAGGAACTTCTGGCTTAGAGAGGGGATCAGTGCAAGGAGTGGTGCTTGTCCCAGGCTGTATTTTGCAAAGGGAATTCCAGAGGCTGTCCTKCTCACCAGCAAACAAGGCCATGATGAACTGTGAGTGTTGGCCTTCATTTCTACACCCGAGAAACAACTCTTCTTCCACAAAGTGCACAGACCCTCTCTTGCCCCAGACATCTCTCTTCTCCAAGATTTGGCCAGACATCCTCCTCTGGGTATCTCCAGGGATGTGACTGCCCCCAGGCAGGTGTGACTGTTCAGTAGCTGAGCTACAGCATCGTTGGTGAAGGGTGAGTGCATCTCAGCCTATTTCAGTGCACAGGCGGCCAGGGGAGCTGAAGGCACCTCCTGGGGATGGCTGGAACAGATACCTGGTGCATGGCAGCGTATCTGGCTCCTCCAGCAACTTGCAACGTGATCGTGTGGTCAGAGCTTTAACAACTCATCCCTTTTTGGCTAAATTTGTCATCAGAAGCACAGGAACATAGGAAATGCCAGGTGACATCAGAATGGTGCTGTGACTTCTAACACAACTACTACAAACCAAGTATTACCACTTTGCAATGYCAGATGTGCATTGATCCAGCTGCTCACAGCTGGCAGCAAGGTTTCTGATTTTCAGAGAAGGGCCCTGTAGCCCTGAGTGTAATCACTCACCCAAAATACCTGCAAATGCCACTCAGGGTAATGTTCATCAGTCTGATGCTGTTTGGCTTCCTATGTTCTTGGCCTCTGTGACTTCTGGAGGCAAGGAGTTCCATCATCACTCACACAACATCATTGCACTGTACAGTTCATGTCCTTCTAGGTTAAAACTCCAGGAGACTTGCATGAACCAAAAGAAAGTTAAATAAAGCAGGACCTCTACATAACAAAGGAAATAAAACATTATATAATAACACAGGGTTAGTTTAAATTGGTATCTGCCCCCAGTGCTAGGTAATAAACCGACCTGTATAAATTCATCTTTTTCTCAAATAGTGACATCTTGCTATATAAAAATAGCACTGTGAAAGCAAGCCAATTTGTGCAAGGGGAAAAAAAAATAAAACCCGAACAAAAAAAACCCCACCAAAAATAACCGAGAAAAAAACCTTTGGAAATGCGTGAAGCGTTGCTTTGTGCTGCATGTTAGCAGTGAAATGTATTCATTCCCTAATACTGGTTATCTGCTCTCTGGGTCCTACAGTAAGAAATCCTGYAGACGGCTTACAATGCTTGCCTCTTACATCTTGAACCTCCTGTTGATGAAGAACAGAGTGAAACACTATTAAGGTTTATTTCAGTTAAGGTTTATTTCACTTGCAAAAGCTTCGATATCAGCAAATCCGTGTCTGGTCTAACGCAAAGGCAGCCCCTCCAACCAGTAATTGCTGAACATTTTGGGAGAAGTTCTCCACAAGGAGCTACTGGGGCCCAGCAGGGCAAACCCAGCAATGGGCGTTATTTGGGGCAGGTTGTGCTCATCACAGTTAGTAAGGTGTTCAGAACTAACACAGGAGGAAGGCTGCTAGAAAGCTTATTCTGGACTTGAAAGCCAGAGCAGAGAATTATCAGTGGGCAAAGAAACTTGGCAAAACAAAAACAGCAGGGAAAGRAGAGATTAATTATTTGTGAGCAGCCCTGGTCGTGGAGCAAGTGGCACTGGGAATGCTCCTCTACCTGCCCCTACCCCACAGCTCTGATGGAGATCACAGACTGCAGCTCCAGAGAGTGCCAGGTCTGTGTGAGGATGGAGGAAYGTAGAGGGCAGCCCACGCTCTGCTCTTGCTCAGCTCTCACCATGGGGTGGCTGGAGAGCAAAGGCAGCCAGGAGCTGCCAGCCAGGAGCCACCCTGAGCCACCCCAAGCCACCCTGCCCTGGAACCTCACCTGCTGTGAGCAGCTGGGGACTGCCCAGAGCTGGGGGTGGCCAGTGCCCAGAGCTGGGGGTGGCCAGCTGCCCAGAGCTGGGGGTGGCCAGTGCCCAGAGCTGGGGGTGGCCAGC